GGATATGCGAGCTGAATTAGATCAAGAGATAGGACGGATATATAACATTCGGCATAGTGTTGGTAATAATCTGAATTCAGTTCTACCTCAGTTATACCAGCATCTTAGTTTCATGACAGTTGACTCTGGTGCCGATCACCCCATTATAGCTATAGGCAGATAAGCACCAAGGAATTATTCGATAGCATTATTTGACGATCTAGCTAGTCTGGAGCAGTGATCACCAGCTCGGAAGAATTTGCTGGGTCACTCCTGTGCGACAGAAAAATAAGTGGATCAGTCAGGTCTTGTGCAACATAATTTTCGCATATACTGAAAAGAAGCTATGCACGCTACCAGTACTTTGCGAATCGCCTTAATGGCTATTTTTTATTAAGTATAATTTCTCTATTAGCAAAATGTCAGATGACGAGACAGATGAAGGCTACGATGAATTTATCAAAGAATATGGATCGAGATATGAATGGGATAATGAAAGGAATCCTGGATTTATACCAGAGTGAAAAGAGTGGGATGATATTTTTTGCATAATCAAAACATATTGGAAGACAAAGGCAGTTAGGCATTGGAAGGAGAAAACGCTTAAGCAATTTGTATATAGTCTGCCTAATGTAAAAAATCCATCATCATTATTCCATGTATTTATACAATCCGATGCTTTCTATCTTCCACATATTTTGAGTCTAATAGAATTGCCATATTATCCGCATGAACTTCAATGGGAAATATGGCCGAATGGTATTGGGGAATTCTGACGTAGATTGTTTATTCAAGGTGGAGAATCAATAGTAGATTACTATTTAAAGGTGAAGAAAAGTAATGATATCGTCAAACTCTGTAAAGGTCATTTTAGAAGTGAATTCTATAGTGGATTAACGCGAGAAAATATGAGATCTATTGCAAAAAATAATTATTACCGTGAATTGGTAGAAATGCTTATTCAGGAGAAAAAAGAATCAGTGACTGGTATTATAACTGGGTTTAAAGATTATATTAGTCAGTCCGGTATTGCTAATCTGAATGGGGTACAGTACTTATTGAGAGGTATACATTGGATAACTAACCCGAGCGATGGTATTCCGGAGCAGTGATCACCAGCTCGGAAGAATTTGCTGAGCCTCAATACATGTACTCATGTGCGACAAAAATAGGCGATCACTAGACAGGGTTCATGTAACATTAATCTTGCATATACATTCGAAAAAGAAAACATATTAACCTTTATTCTTTATTTTTTTCCCTGAACAATCATGAGAAAAATGGCCCTTTAGGCGCTTCGCATGAAAGAAGGTCTACACGCAACACAGGACCAGCTCTAAAAGTAAATAGTGCCGACAAAAGCATATGTTATGAATGGCTGAGGGATTTACAATTTTGAGATCTACAAGAACTAACTACCTTTGCGTCTCTCCAGTAGATCTACGTGTGAAAAGGTATGAGGATTCCGTTTACATGTGCTTTCATGGAACTCTTAGCATCAGACAACAATACTAATTACGTCCTATACCTCCTTAATTCTTTCCTTCCCCGGACAATATATAAAGCATGTGTGATATGTAGAAGTTCAGTCAACTTTTCCGTAAAAATATTTCCTGTAAAATAACATAAAACAAGGTATGTATATGCCAGAAGCTGTGTATGCTTAGGAGCGAGATTTTTCTTACAATGGGCCTTGTAATTAGAAAAGATGTCTTCCACCTCCACTAAAGCTGATATGTTAAAAGAATATGAAACAGAAAGTCTTATCAAATTTTTGCGGGGGGATTCCAAATTAAAACACATAGAAGTTGGTGACCTTTTTACGGAACTTGAGGAGAAAAAAATCACCGGTAATTCATTTCTTAAGCTAAGCGGATGGGATTTAAAGGAATATGGAATGTCACTGAGACAAGCATTGGAACTTGAAGACTACATTAAGGAGCTGTGTGAGTAATTTAGCTTATTATAGCTAAAATCTAATAAGCGTTGTTCTGATTGTCATTATTTTTATTAATAGATGTTCGAAAAAAAATAGATTTAACAGATTATATCTCTCCAAAAAATAATTAGTATTCAAATCATGTAACGCGATCTATTCGCAATGTTTATGTATTGTAAGCGAATTATAATTCGTTCCGGCAACATTTTTTTTTATTTCATAAATAAAATATTATTTTTCGTGGTCCCGAACATTTGTATTTATTTTTTGCATGTAATAAAAAATTTTTCTTGGGAAAAAGTGACCTGCGTTCCAAATTGGAACGGACATGTGATCTTTTATTATTTAATTTGTCAAACGCACAATCTATTGATTCATTAAGAGAGTTAAATGCTAAGCTCTTAGTTGAGATTGCCGAACTTAAGAAGAAGTTTGCTGAGATCGAGGGTGGGAATACTGAGCTTAAGGATAAGGATGCTGAAACTGGCGTGATATTGAGAATGCCGAGCTCTGCGAAATTTTAGATTATTGAAAAACCTTGACAAAATGTCACGATCATCCACTGTCTGAAAAAAAGACAAAGCTTTGCACAGTCGCCTTTCAAATTGAATCTTCACTATCTCGCAAAATGCAATTAAAAATTTTTTTACACATGACGTGATATCATGGCTGAAAATAGATTCGCTGACAAGAAAAAGAGCTTCGGTAAAAAGTGTTCAGGCGCTTGAGAAACATTTATTCTTGGTTCTGAATTTTGATCTAAATACTCACGTGATTTTAATCGTGAAGATTCTTCACGGTTACACCTATGCTAATTTTCTCTAATGAATAGTATGCTAATTTTCTTTAGACCCTTGTTGATTTTTACATACGGATAGCATCAAAATTTTCTTTCTATTATAAATTATCAGTCGGAAAACATGTCCTTTCAACTGCTTTATTAATAAACTTCCCACTCGAGTTCTCAAACCCGATTCCTCCTATTTATTTTCTTGTCAAGATCTCTAAAAAATAGAAGATTTAGCTGACCTCAGTCGTGAAAAGCTTATAGAGCTAGATGGAGGTAAAAGTATGTGAAGAGTTAGTGTCGACCGTTATGGTGCATGATCAGATTTTTGTGACGCGTCATATTCCTCCAGGATGATTCTAAAATGATTTACTAGAAAATCGTGATCGTCAAAACAAAGTCTCTCATTGCAAGTCTCATTGGTGCAGTTTTAATTATATGCCACGAAATTCAGCACAAATTAGCAGTATCATATGCCGAATTCTACCAAAGAGCATTCACGATATGTTTGAAACAAATATAAAATGTGAATCGGATGTATTATTTATTTTACTCTGCTAATCGTAGATAGCGAAAAAATTAGCATTAGGTGGGAAGGAACACTCGAGAAATTCCTCCAGTGCCTTCAGACGCTACAACACACATTGTATTATAATGATTAACAAGCAATTTACACATATGAAGTCAAATAAAAATTTCGCTCATGCAATTTTTAATGGTATATTTATTAGGTTTACACTTAGTGATAAATGCTTAATCAAATATTTTATAATTCTCCGCAATACTTATCAAGATCTACGCATAGTGCATACTGCACTATATTATTAATCCAAGCGTCAAATCTCTTGTTGTCCCCCTTATTCTCATAAGACTGTTTTGTTTAAAATTTTCGAATATATCCTTTGGCAAAACAAAGTAAATGTTAATATCAGAATCTTCATCTAAAACTTTCTTGATTGCTCTTAGCCCATCTTGTTTGACACCATGTCTTCTAGAAACAGTAACTTGAAACATCTTATTTGGATAAACATAACTATCAATACTTTCGAACGTATCAGAATTTGGCCGATAATAATTTTTTTGTATTTTCTGTATATCATCTTTAATCTCATCAATAGACTAAAAAAATTTTTCTTCTAAATCTGAATCAAATTCTTCAAATACTTCAGGTTCCGTACCCTTAGTAGTTAGTTTGCGTACTGAAAATTTTCCTCCCCGACGAAGAATTTCATGTGAAATCAATTCGAATAGCTGTTCATGAAGAGCGGACATTTCCTTCATATTCCTTGCACTCTCAATGAAAGTGCGAAATTCCTCCTTTTTATGTTTTTTTAATTGATCTAAACATTTATTTCCCGCAAATTTTGATGCGAAAAGGCAGATAGAATCAGTATATGGATTTTCCGTGTCCTCGAGATTGGTGTGTATTTGAATTATCTTGTGAGAAAATTCATGACCAAAGAAGAGTTTGGCTTGAGAATCTATAATACATGAATCAATTGATTGAGATGCAGATGCAGAAACAATCATATTACGAATTTTTTCACAGCTCATCTTACTATCAAAAATCCATCTTGGGATCCCACCACATAAGTCAAACTTTGTTTTGATTTCTTCTTTAGTAATTTTGTTTACATATAGATTATCCCAACATTTAAGTAACTCATCCTCATTCCAAGTTGGCATATATAGTGTTTCACACCTTGGTTTGTCAAAATCAGCAATGATCTCTCTTTTAGACGAAGATACCATTATAAACTTCCCTTCAGTCCAATCATGACTTACTTGGGGCTTTTTTCCATCAATTATGCACCAAGTCTCATTTTTTGCAAGAAGTTTGTACTCCTCACTATTCACTTTGAAAGATACACCTTGAGGGTCAATATATAGCGTGCAATCTTTACAGTCGATAAGAACTGGTTTTTTACTTTGAAGAAGCTCAACTAACATTAATCTCCCAAAATATGTCTTGCCGATGCCCGGATTTCCGGTGATTAAAAACCGATTGTGGGATTTATTATTGAGTATAAATTTACGAAAATAGTCGTAGCATCCCCGATTATATATCTCCATTGTACTGACTTCTCCTGGCAATGGTGGTACATGGAACACTTGTTGATTTGTGTCAATAGAAGATAAGACATCGATAAGGTGTTTGATCATCATCTTATCTTCATATAGAAGAGGTATAAAATCGAGTTAAGACTTTATCATTCTTTATAAAAGTCAACATTAAATAATAAATACCTTTTTTTTGGGCCTCTATTAGTTTCTTCTTTATGGCTTGGTTCTCAATATCTTCGTCTGAATCTTCTGCTTTCCTTTTTCCTAATCGAATGAAAAAAAATACAGGATGTGAGATAACGCGAGTTTCTTATTCGAGAGGTGAGACACTTACCAGTAGTGGCAGGCAGGGGTGGTTGGACAATTATGCGGACGTTATTGGAGCCACCCGAGAAGATTTCGCCAAGATATGCATTTGGTAACAAATTATCACCATCGAGTTCATTTTTTATAGTAGTATTTTCTTTATCTCTATCACGAGATCTGTTTTCAAGTTTTTTCAGTCTATCATCTCCTAAAGGTAAATCCACCTTCCATAGAGACAACTTGTTGGCATCAATACGTTGGCTTTCAAAATCGTTCTTATTCTGATCGTAGATTAAACGTCTGAATTCCGAAACGGATATGTTGCTGTCGCCTTCAACTTCAAAGGCGTTCTCAATCTTATTACCCACCACAAAACAAAACACCATGATGGTGTTATTTCTGATGGACACGAAAATCAGAGTTAAAATAAAGCTAGAAAAAATAATCTCTCTTTTGATCTGAATACGGGAAATATCGGATAAAAAAAAATCGGGAATTCGAGTCATGATGAATTGATTAAGCTAATTAAGGCTAGATAAAATTGTACACGTGGCCAGCCGTGACCTCCAAAGAACTGACTCAAATTCGGTCAGGTTTGTTGATTTTGGTTAATAAGTAACAGATATAGGCGAAATTATTCGAGAACTTCCTATATCTTTGAGATCTGGTCGTCGCGTGGGCCAACCAACTTGGATTTCTCAACTTGTCTTTTTATCTATTGTCTTCCGTATCACTCACGTTACTCGTGTTATCCTATCACGTACCTTCTTTCATTCAAAGGCATACTGAAAAAAGTAGCATAAATATAGACTCTACTAAATTTCAAACTCCATACTTTTAGAATTCAAAGAAGTAAAGTCAAAATTTTAAAATTGTGTTGGAATCGTATTAACCATAAACCAAAACAAACGCTATATACGCACCAAGAGATCTGTATGGTATGTAAAAAGTTCTTTCTTCTTGTAATAAAAATTTGCGCAATTAAAGTGTCCCAAAAATTTGTCAAACTTTCAACCTAGACGAATTATTTCATTGACGTCTAGTTGATAAATACTGTATTTAACTATACAAAAAAGGCATGAATCATGTGGCCGTGTGACATACGACATGATTTTTCCAGCTCCGAGTTTTCGGAGAATTTTTGTTACATAGACTCCTCGGCTGTGGCATTTGCATTTCAGGACTCGCAAGCTAATATCCATTTTTTTCGCTCAGGATTACGAGCATCACGGAAGGTGGGCAACATAAATTTCGGTGAGGCCTTTACTAAATAAATGTTTATTATTCCTAACGCGAATGTCTCTTTAGGCATAACTGACGACCATTTTATTCTACTCAGAATATTGACGTTGAGGCAAATGAAATCGGATTAGAGTTAATGTTGTGATATTATGTTAGTATAGATAGTTTAGATGAACGAAACACTGGTGTGGGTCTGTAGATAAACATTTCATTTTGTAAAACGAAATTACAGCATGTACCACGGGCTATGTCCCGAAATTGGATTTATTTTTTGTGTATTAATAAAACATTTTTTTCTCGGCAAAGCGATCTGCGTTCCAAATTGGAACGGACACAAATGACTTTTTTATTTTGAATACTTATATAAAAAGTGTTATCAAAATGGAATCCGAGATTGACTTACTTAGGCAAGAAAATGCTAGACTTGTGGCCAAGAATTACGAGCTTGAGGCAGAGATCGCGAAGCTGAGGCAGATTATTGAGGAGAATGCCAGACGTGACGCTAGAGTAGAAGAACTAGAGCAAAAAAATAAAGAGCTTGAGGCTAGACTCGCGATATTGGAACAGGGTTCTTTGGTGACTCTACAGAACAATAAGGAAACGATTGCAGAGATGTCACCAGAGATAGCAGTTTCAGATGTTGATTTATCTAATGCCGTAGTAGACCAGCGAAATAATATTGACTCAAGGACATCGGAGGAAAAGGAGATGGATGCTTTCTTGGTTGAAGTAAATAAGAAAAGCATCAGTGATAAAATTAGAGAGAGGAGGCGGGAAAAGAAGGTTCAGCATAAGATGACTGCCAAAGACTCATCCTCAGTTATCTCAGACTTGACTCACTGTGAGGAGGACATCTCCATGACTAGCACTGAACTTGTAATCCTCCCAGAACAAACATCTGTTGGAGCATCTCCCGTGAAATCATCTATGGTGGACAAACAGGTTCCAGCTTCTGAATCATATGAGAACGCAGATACGGAGTGTCGAAAAATTCCTTATAATCAAAAAGTGGATCAAAATTTGAGACGGGAGCTATCCTCTTGCACTAAAGGTGGTGATGGTAAGGTCAATAAGGCGTTTAATATTCAGATTCCTGAACTCTCTTTAGAAGCAATTCTGACAGGATCTAGTGAAGTTACGGCACAGAATATAGTTGATCTATTTAGAGTAGCAATGAAGCTTAGACGTAAGGAGATTTTATGCTGGTATTGTTACTATAAAGCATATGAGGATCGAGTCAGGGACGTTAAGTCTAAGAATGGTGTTGATGACAAATCAGCAAGAACATTGGTGTACAGCGAAATCAAAACCTTGCTTCCTGACATTACTGATGTAAACTTGCGTAAAATAACTTTCAGAGCTAAAAAAATCTATATATTGTTTGATGGGATAGGAATAAATAGAATCCAAATAATTAGCTGTAGTGCAAGTGCCATCTCAAGTTTATCTGATAATCAGATCCAGGACATTATAAATGATTTCCTAAAAAAAGCTACTAATACGGATAATGTAGGTTATGAAGACTCCGTTCCAATTTGGAACGGGCACGTGACTTCGAAAACCAATGCATCGAAGATACAGGCGAATCCCTTGGGAGTGACAAATGTATCATCTGCATCCCAATCTAAGCCAATTTATGATCGCACCTATTTTCGTAACAAGACATTGGATCAATATTCTAATTTATATAGAGAATTTAGTAGTGAAGATTTCGATTATTTTGGAATTACCAATGAGAAAATATGCCCATTATGCAAGTTAGAGCATGATGATGAGGAAAGCATAGAAGGTATATATAAAGCTGGATCTTATTTTATTAAATGTGAACAGCGTGAAATTGAGATAGTTGCATAGTCTCATTATTTTACAATACTATATTTGCGTTTCCCTTGGGAAACTATTTTTTACAGGGCTAATTTATGTCGACTAATATCTACTGTAATTTAAATTGATTTGCAATCATATAAAAAAACAATATGGGCAAGTCCGATAAAGTATTAACCCCCAAGTATCTGGATTGGCATGCCAAATTAAGTGGGTTACCAAGCGTTTTGACAGATAAGATTCATACCAATTTATACAAAAGATATAAAAGAGAAACTGGAAATGAGCCATGGCAATTATCGGAAGCTGTGATATATATGTCAGCAGAACCAGTCCCTTGCTCTGAGCGCCTTCAGCTGGGACTATCTCAAGCCTCTGATTTCGAGCCTATCACCTTCGAAGCCAGACCCAATCCAGAA